CATTAGTTGGGTTTCCATTATGTTAGTAGATTTACCAATAGTGTGTAAGCCATCCCTCTTGATGTTAAATAAACCTTTTATCTCAGTAAACTCTTGGTTAGTGGATCTGCAAGTTAGAAAGTTTAACTTCAAGAAGTTGTTGGTTATAATACCACCATTTAAGAGGAGTTGTTTTGTTGAATTATGCTTTCAACTTATACATATAGATTTTCTGTTATAGTTATTCTTTATCTTTGCTATCGCAGCTTGGCAATCACAATGGATAGTTATCGTTGGAACTGGTTGTGGCTAAAGTGGTATATCAACTAGAAAACTCCTTAAATATTGAACTTCTTCACATGTTTTATCTAAAACAATTAAACACACACTTCTTTTAGGAAACATTGTACGGTTGTCAACGTCTACCCATAAGATTCAACAATATTCAATTGTCAGATGGCAACACCCCAAATTTGATGAATCCAGCAAATCAGCAGTAACTTGTATCCACTTAAAAGCTAAATATTGTACATAAAAAGTATAGATATCTTTGTTAAAGAATTTTGTAGGCGGTAAGCTTGAAACAAAAGAATAGGCTTCGATCCTTAAAGTATATGGCGATCTCTCTCTCTCTCTCTCTCTCTATATATATATATATATATATATATATATACTGTGAGAAGTCGTGTGTACCACCAAATTGGTGTTGTGTGATGTGACTAAGTTTGAATTTATAGAATGCCACTACCACTGCTAACTATTATTGTAGCTAGAGTGAGTAGGGATCATCCCAAGGGAAATGAACGGTATTTTGGAATCAATGATGGAGTAGTAGGTCGAATGATCAAAAGATGGTTTGATTTGATTAAACTATTAGTTCAATTAAAACAATGAAATTAAATGACAATCTAGAAATTAGGGAAAGATATGTGAGAGAGAGGTTGTAATACCCCTAATTTTAAAAGGATAGTCTCGGTATTTATTTATTTGTTACCACAATGAAGCCGAGTCCACGTGGGAACGAGAGGATGTCATTTGCTCCAGGAACTAATCAGACTTTAAATTGATCTATTATGCATGCTAATTCTGGTATAAACAATGTTAGATGAATTTATTTGTAATTGATTGATCTTGCAATTTATGCCATGAGTATTTGTTTTGATTGATGTTAATGATGCCTAATTGATTTATATATATATTACTGGAATGATTCACGACTTAGTTCAGACTCTTAGGACCATCAACAATGGAGAACAGAGGGATTAGAACTCGTCGGAGACGAGGAAGATGATACAGAACAGGGTGAGAGCCGGCTCACAAGGGGTGAGAGCCGGCTCCTAAAAAGGAATTATTTTGATAACTCTCAGAGGGAGAGAGCTGGCTCCATGAAGTTGAGAGCCTGCTCCCTCAAGATGAGAGCTTATTCTCACAAGGACAGAGCTTGCTCACACGAGGACAGAGCTTGCTCTCACAAGGATAGAGCTTGTTCTTAAGGGGACAGAGCTTGCTCCCTCATTTAAAAGCTTACTTCATCGCTGCTACTTTAATATTTTGGGATTTTTGGCTATTGTTTTAAGGTTTGGAATGTTCCAGGGATGTGTAGGTTATTATGGGTTATTTAAATGACTACAGTGAGCATGTTAAATACCTAGAATGCATAATTAATAATTATATGCTATAGAATGATAAACAATGTGAAATTTTAATTAAATTTACATGTTGTTAATGGATTGATTAATTGCCTAGTATTATTCTAGCAATCTAAATTGATGATATATGATTTTAATCATGCGTTAACAGTATTATATGATCATGCTATTATTTGATTTTTATTATGCTTGTTTCTAGAATTAACTAATGTCTTATTTCAATTATTTCATCAATTATTGGGCTATATGGATGTAATGCACCGGTATGGGATGGTGGCATTCTAAGGACGGATTAACCAAAAAAGTTAAATCCTACCTATTTATTATAAGGAATGGATTAACCAAATAAGTTAAGTCATCCCTATTTATGTCAAGCCACTTATCAGTTGAATGACATTTTTATCTTATGCTTATACGGACTTTATATATATGATTATGTTGCCAAGATGTGAGATTGAGACTCAGGATCTATGGTTAGGGAGTGTATACTGCCCTGGGAAGTCTCGTTGGTTATAGGAGTGTTGAGAACCCTAGTACGTTGAGGTACTCACGCCCACTATTTGTGCGTTTTGCATGTTACCTTCTATTCAGGTTTAGTCCGTCCTATAGTCCAACGGTAGCCCGTTAGTGTGGATCTTTTTATAAATATATATAAATATATATATATATATATATATTTATTTATGGATTACTAGTTGTTGTTGAGTTAACTAGGATGTATACGTGTATCGAGTCTCTACTTGGAATGTAGTAGAGTAAAACTTGTTTGTGGGCCTGACCCATCATTATTTTTCAGGTGTTCATCAGCTGCAGGGATAAAGACTGTTCGTGCTAAACAGAGATAATTATTCATTCTTCCGACTACGTAGTGCTCTTCTTTATATTTTAGTTTTGGATTTGATTACAATTTAGCTATTTTTCAGTTGGGATATTATTAAGGGTCCACTAGATGGATTTCCGAGTTGTAATGATATTGGAGGTTTTAAATTATTCTATTTAGAGGATAATTTATTTATTAAGTTATGGATTTATTATTTAGTTTCTTTCATCTTAATTATTATTTATTCTTTAATTTTTCTTGTATTCTATGCTTGTTTATATACTTAATTGTTTGGTATCCCTCAGATCTGTGCTCGGACTTGATCACCCGTGGCTCTAGAATCTAGGGGTATCACAGTTGGTATCAGAGCACTCCAGGTTCAAGTGTCTCTAGGATTCTTTCGTATAAGACTTCTGCGTAGCATATTCTTTTGTTTAGAGCTTAAGTTTAGAATTCATTGTATTCCTTTACGGTCCGCTTAAAACGTACTGATGCCAATTTTATTTTGTGATTTCAGAATGATTGGCACTAGGAAAAGGATGTGGTCTGCAATGAAAGCAAAGAAGGACCCAAAAAAGAAAAAGATTACTTCGACGATTCCTCTGCGAAGGTAGACCAAGAAAGCAGAATTGGAGACCAAGGAATTATTTCTAGTAAGTGTTGTTTCAGAGTATAAGCCAAGGAAGATTTCTTGTGTGTAAGATTGGCCACCATACTGTGGACCCAACATAACTTTGGTGGTGCTCGAAGTTGAGACAAGTGGAGAGGAGGACCCCGAAGAAGATCATAATGAAGGAGATACTAGAGCATCCAAGAAGGGGGTACCGGATCTTAAGGATGATTGCTCTTTTACGAGTGATATTTATTACTAGTAGTAGTGGAAATATTATTGGAAGTGTAGTACTGTTTAAATTACGTGCACTAGGATTTTTTTTAAAAGAATATATAATGATTATTCTTTTGGCAGTTTATGGTTTAAAGAAGTTCTTAATAAAGTGAACTGGTGGTTTTGGCATCTTAATTGTGTTTCATAAGAGTATTTTTGAGATATTTCCATAAATAATTTTATTAAACTATAATGGAATGTGTATGTTGCGATAATAAAGGAATATTATAATGGAGTGATTGGTATTTGGGCAAGTAAACAAATTTTTGCTTATAGGTACGTTGTGTGGAGATGGGACATTTACCAATGAGTTTATGAAAGAAACTTGTGGGAATCAATTCTATAAGTTTGATTGCAAAAGAGACAATTTGGCACTTTCGAGGGTAGTTGCTATACTTGTGTAGAGTTTAGCACACTTCTAGGCAGTGCCCCAAGACAGGATAGGGACAGCATGTGCAGCAGGGATAGAGACCTAAGTGTCTAAAGTCTTTTTAGAATGATATGGGGTGTTCATAGAGGATTTGTTGGTTTATCACTAAAACTATGAATTGAGAAATGCATAAAATGGTAATGCTACGAAATAAATAGGCAAAGACAATTAAAAAGAACTAGGGAAGTGAATCCGCACAAAACCCTAAACACATGCTAGATCAAGACTAAATTGGGGATAGATAATATATATATAATGGTCAAGAATTATATAGCAACACATGGTTACCCTATAATCATCAAGAAGTTCATTAAATCAAAACAAGAATGATCCATCAAAAGTTCATACATTTGAACTACCTAAACTAGGGTGTAACATCAAACCTACTACCTTAAGCAAAAGACTATCAAGCCATTAATCAAATGATAAAACACATGAAGCTAGGAATCAAGTATAAACCATCAAAGGGAATACCTAAGCAATGGACTATTAAGTTTCTCTATCAACATGTCATGAAAATCACTCATAATCTTATTCCCATTGTCACCATGAAAATGTAAGCATTAAGATTAATATAAGGATCATCAAAGACAAGATAATTAACTTACATCAATCATTTAGGAACATTGAAATTCATTACAAAAAGTAATATGCTCTAAATTATGAGAAGACCAAAAATTATACATATTTATCCCCAAAATAGAGCCTAATCTAAAATATGATTACAAGGGAAGGCATCATCACCTCCCTAGATGGAGGTTTAGTTACCCATTAATGCAAGGAGTGGAGAGAAGGAATAAGAAGAATTCTCCATTGTTGCACCTTGAGCTCCAAGAACACCCAAAAAGCTCTCCACCTCCCTTCTAGCTCTTCAATTATGAGATATGAGATATCTATCATCAAACCCCCTTCTTATCCTCCAAAACCTACTCCCCATACTCCAAAATCCCGAGCTCCCCCCTTTGGCTCAATCTCCACCACATAAAAGGAAGATAAGGGAACAAGAATGCTGAAAAAAAGGGGCAGGTGATCTGCTTGCAGAGGGCCGGCGGGCGCCCGCGAGGCGCCGGCAGGCACCCGCGGAAGCTGCGGCTCGCGAGGATGGTGCTGGCATGTTTGGCGGGCGCCTGTGGCGCGATGGTGGGTGCCCGCGATGGTGCGTGGGAGCTACTGCGGGGGCTTCTGCAAGGCGTCGCGAAACTAGACAGAGAGGTGAGGCATTCGGCGGGAGCTTGCCTTTGCAACATTTTCAAGGCTTCTTGCAAGCCTTCTTCAAACAGGACCATGGATACACTCCCACGACGAACACTCAGCCATGACTTCATAAAACGACAACAGGAGAAGTCAGGTCCAAAAGATGACTCCCCGGCACAGCGCACGTATATCAACATAATTGATGCCAAAACCGCTTCTTTGATCAAATTCAGGGAGACCGACCTGAAACAAGACAAAAGTGCAAAAATAAATTAAAACTGTACATTCTACTCCATTAACAGACTTAACTAATGCAAGAAAGGGCGCTTGAATATGCAATATTCGCCGCTTATCACACCCCCAAACTTACATTTTGCTAGTCCCTTAGCAAAACAAAATATAGAATCGAGCAAAAATGACAACATGCATCAATCATTAAGCAAGAAATATATCTATGAAGCTCAAATGTAATATGGAATGACAAAAAATTGGAGGAAGTTCCATTAACAAACTACCTTGCATATATGAAGCCTTAATAATCAAAATGGCAAAAATGAGTTCAATCTTAAATGCATCAATCATTAAACTCTGTATAAAAACTTCAATTATCATTTCTTGAATAACATGAACTCTAACTTCAGTGAAAGTGAGCCGAATTCCTAATATGCAGCTTTTACCCTCTTCTTCCAATCCCAATAACACATTTTCACATCCTTAAATCTCCTTCAAAATGAGGTCCCTATGGCATAATTTTATTCATAATGCAACTTTTATTGCTTATTGAGAATTCTGTTGTTCAAACAAAAGAAAGCTAACTATTGGTTGTGCAATGCCAAAATCCTTTAAGCTTTCTAACCAACCCATGTAGCAAGCATTAGGCCAACAACTCCCAAACTAGATGGTTTTAGGGTGCTAAGTGTAGAAACACTCCTAGGGCTTAATAACTCAAGCTGGAAAGGCTATGAACTTCGACGAACCAAATTTATTTATTTATTTTTTGAATAACCGTGCAATGTCTAGGTTCTTTAAGCTTTCTAATCAACCCATGTAACAAGCGTTAGGCCAACAATTCCCAAACCAGATGGTTTTAGGGTGCTAAGTGTAGAAACACTCCTAGGGCTTAATAACTCGAGCTGGAAAGGCTATGAACTTCGACTGGTCATTGATTGCTCTTTTTTTTTTTTTTTTTTTTTTTTTTGCCAAGGGTATCCGTTCATTAGGGTCATTAATTCAGATCACTGAGTCCCGATCAAGGTCAATTTGGATTGCATGCCTCACAATTAGGTTTCCGGTGTTCAAATGTGCAATGTGAAGCATAAAAGAGTATGAAATCCGACAAGAATTTAATTAAAGTCTTTATACAAACCAACTATGAATCACCATGCTTATTTCAAAAGTTTCCTTATTTTCAAAAATTATCTTGGCTTTTATACACAAAGTATTAAGTACATGCTTCAACCTTCAACAAGTTCCATGGTTACACTATCATTGCTTTCAACAACATGATTTTATTAACTTATGAGCATAAAAAATGAGCAAAAATCATACGAATGAAAGCACATGCACCCCCAAACTTGAATGTCACATTGTCCTCAATGTGAGAAGACAAAGGATAAGAGAATTAGAAAGAAAACTGGAGAGTGCGAAGAACAATAGTACCAAGTTGAGGAGGAATAGAGTGGCGGTGCAAAAATAAGCCACTTTGTGAATTCCAAGAGCATACCCCCAAACTCGAAATCAAACACCTGTCAAAAGCATTTATACAGAGCAAGAATCAAATGAATCCAAAAATTACTAACGATAATTGCAATTTATTTCAAAGCTAAAATCCATGCAAACTAACAAAAGAGATGCAGTTAAAAGTTTAAAAGAAATGGAAAAGAAATGCCAAACGGGGCCCAAAAGAAGTCTAAAGTAGTACTACTACAAAAGGGAAATAAAACGAGAAACAGGAAATCAATCCTCTATCGGCGTGGAGGAGGAAGCACCAGGTGCGCCTGGCGCCGGGTCAATCAATGACTGGAGCATAGCCTGCAAAATCTCTTGATTCTCCTGGGTTTTCTGGACGACACCCTCTATAGCATCAGAAAAAGCATCGAGACGAGCATCCAAAGCGAGATACTCGGCGCGAGTCATGACATCTGGCGGCCGGACAAAAGTGGCAGCTGGAAAAGGGGGGGCATCAGGAGGAGGAGGAGCAGGAGCCACAGGGGGGGCCGGAGCACCCCAATCCAATGCGTCACCAATGCGGGCCTGATAGGACGTCTGAAGTTGAGCTGTGCTGGACTTCCAGACCCCAAGGTTGAAGTGCAACACATTTTTCTCTTTCTGTTCACCACGGGGAACTCGAAACCCCATATTTTTGAGCAGCCTTGTAATAAGGTATGGAAATGGGAATGCCCAGGTTGTGGTGGTGCGCGACTAAACCAAGATTAATTCCTTGTAGATTTTTAGCAATTGGTCCTAGACAAGTTGTGGGACACAAAACCAACACTCCTTTTCAGCATAGTAGAAGGTTTTCAGAAATTCCCCCTTTCGCTCGGAATGGCCTGGCACGGGTAGGACGTTCTTGGCCAGGACCGAATCGAGAAACCATAGCCGGCAAGGTAAGAAAGATTTATTGGTGCTTGTGGTTCTGTTTCCGATGAATTAACCATGACAAATTTCTCCCACAATGTCTATTAAGGTAGGCTGATCGGGACCTTTAACATAAAGGGGGAGGCTGGCCTCATCCACTGGCGAAATCAAGGGGCAATCCATAGCCATAGCAAGGTCATCGAGGTCGAATTCATAATCATAGTCATCAATGGTGGTTTTGATTTTGTTCGGTTCCTCACATGAGTGGACCATGTTGGCATAGAATAAACAGACCGCACACGGGAAGTAAGAATGAGCGCGCGGTTTGAAAGTAGAGGATAGGCCACGAGCCCTCAATTCGCGGACGGACCATGCGGTCTCCACATTGCTCTCAAAAGTAGGTGTAATATCAAAACGAGCTTCGGTTTCAATTGGCCATTCAGCCCAATTTGGGGGCGGAGGAGCATTAGAGGGGCCCTCGGATGACCTAGCACGCTTGGAAATAACCCTAGGAGCCATTAGAATGAAGAAAATTGGTTCAGGACTTTTGTCAAACACCTGGTATGCAACAGAAATTAGAAGAGAGCAAAATGAGGTTAGAAAGGTGAAAATTCCAAAAATTTGCATCAAAAATCAACTATGCACAATCCCAACAAATTCTACAACCTTTACCACATCAATCCCATCCTTTATTGATCCATAAATTGAAAGAAAGGAAGAAGAAGACTTACCTCAAGTTGAAGAATCAAAAACTCTCTTGTTGGGGCTTTGGGATGAAAGATTAAGAGGATGAGAAAGATGGATGCAGATTAGGATGGAGGAGGATCGATGATAGTGAGCTGAGAGTGAGAGATTTAGGTGTGAAGGAAGGTTTGGGGCACAGGGTGAGAGAGGGAGGAGGGTTTATATGAAATAAAAATGGGGGGAAATGGGCTTAGAAGCCCAATTAATCTACCAGCGACGGGTGGCGGGCGCTCGCGAGAGCTCCACGGGCGCCTGCGGATGACCTGAGTGTATTGACTAGTTTGGCGTGAAGAAAGGTTTGAGGCACAGGGTGAGAGAGGGATGAGGGTTTATATGAAATAAAAATGGGGGGAAATGGGCTTAGAAGCCCAATTAATCTGCCAGCGATGGGTGGCGGGCGCCCGCGAGAGCTCCGCGGGCGCCCGCGGATGACCTGAGTGTACTGACTAGTTTGGTGGGAGCGTGCGGTGGCGCGGCGGGCGCCCGCGGGAGCTCATGAAATGCTGCCTTGTGCAGCATAGCCAAGTTTGGTCAACCCACAGATGAAAGCACATGAACTTCCAGCATAGATTGGAGAGCAACGGGATCGTGATGACTGCGAAGAATGAAATGGAACGAACTAATTTACCACAACAATCCTACGATGCAAACTTTGGATAGAACGGGAGATGAGTCCAAACGACTTCGAATATTCCTCGAAGTTGAACAAAGATATGGACATGATGAAAATGACCAAATATGATCACCAGAATGTGTCCTAGGAATGTCTTGACATTGACCATGAAGAGAACAGAAGCGTGGGAAAATGGAAAAATTGCTTCCCATAAGTGCTAAATTTTAACATCGATAGCTAGATGAACTAAACGAGCGCACTAGTCCTCGTAGACTGGGTCCATTAATAGGACTTTCTCTACTTTGCGGATTGGGACTATGCTGTCAATGAAGGGCTTAAGGCATTGGCCATTAACCTTAAACAACAATCCATTAGCAGGATCTTGAAGCTCAACCGCTCCATGAGGAAAGACAGAAGTGATGAGGTATGGACCATCCCACCTTGACCGGAGTTTACTGGGAATTGAAGAGCCAAACTTTTTGTCCTGGGGCAAAAGACTTATTGACAATATGCTTGTCATGGAATGCTTTGGCCTTTTCCTTATAGATTTTAGCACTCTCATATGCATCATTTCGGATTTCCTCAAGTTCATTGAGTTGCAAAGCACGGTTAGAGCCGGCTAGTTTGAGATCAAAGTTGAGCCTTTTTATGGCCCAAAAAGCACGGTGCTCTAATTTTACCGGGAGATGACACGGTTTGCCAAAGACAAGTCGATATGGCGACATGCCAATGGGTGTCTTGTAAGCCGTCCGGGAAGCCCAAAGTGCATCGTTTTGTCTTAGCGACCAATCTTTGCGGTCCGGTCGAACCATTTTTTCCAAAATGTGCTTAATCTCCCGGTTAAAAACCTCTACTTGACCACTCGTTTGAGGATGGTAAGGTGTAGCAACCTTATGAATGACAGAATACTTAGAAAGGACGGATTTAAAATAACGATTTCTGAAATGTGATCCGCCATCGCTGATGATTGCTCGAGGAGTACCAAAACGACTAAAGATGTTAGATGAAATGAACTCGATTACGACTTTATGATCACTGGTTCTGGTAACCGTGGCTTCCACCCATTTGGAAACATAATCCACCGCTACAAGGATGTACTCATAGCCATAAGAAGGTGGAAATGGTCCCATGAAGTCGATTCCCCACACATCAAAAATTTCAATTATTAAGATGGGAGTGAGGGGCATCATGTCTCTTCGGGACATGGATCCAAGCCTTTGACATCTTTCACATGATTTACAGAAATTGTATGCATCTCGAAACAGGGAGGGCCAATAGAATCCGCTTTGAAGAACTTTGTGAGCAGTCTTTTTGGCACTGAAATGGCCTCCACAAGCAAGAGTATGACAGAAATTGAGGATGCTTGTGGTCTCAGTTTCAGGAATGCATCACCAGATGATTTGGTCCGGGCAATACTTGAATAGTTCTGGATCTTCCCAAAAGAAATGCTTGACTTGGGAGAAGAACCGGTCCTTCTCTTGTTTGGACCAATGAGTTGGAATTTTACCTACCGCAAGGTAGTTGACAATATCTGTAAACCATGGAAGATTTGCATGAGAAATCTGGAAGAGTTGCTCATCCGAAAAGGAATCATAGACGGTGGCGAAATTTGAAGATTTTTTAATGAGTAAACGAGAGAGATGATTGGCGACAACATTGTCTGTCCCTTTTTTGTCCTGAATTTCGATGTCAAACTCTTGAAGTAAGAGTATCCATCGAATTAGGCGAGGTTTGGTCTCTTTTTTCACTAACAAGTGCCGAACAGCGGCATGATCCGAGAAAACTATGACCTTAGAACCCAGAAGATAGGAGCAGAATTTATCCAAGGCATAAGCTACAGCTAGCAACTCTTTTTCAGTAGTGGTGTAATTTAATTGAGCATCAGAAAGTGTTTGACTAGCGTAATAAATGACGTATGGGAACTTGTCCACACGTTTGCCCAAAACCGCGCCTAATGCATAGTCGGATACATCACACATGATCTCAAAAGGAAGAGACCAATTAGGCGGTTTCATTATTGGGGCAGATGAGAGGAGGGTGCGAAGTTTAATGATAGCTTCCATGCAAGCTTCATCAAAATTGAATAGAGCATCCTTGGCTAAGAGATTACACAAGGGTCGTGAGATTTTGCTAAAGTCTTTGATGAAACGACGATAGAATCCGGCATGGCCAAGAAAAGAACGCATTTGACGGATGGAATTCAGAGGAGGAAGATTAGAGATTAATTCAACTTTTGCCTTGTCTACCTTGATTCCCCGTTTAGAGATGACATATCCTAGAACAATGCCTTCTTGGACCATGAAATGGCTTTTCTCCCAGCTTAGAATCAGATTTGTCTCCTTGCATCTTTGGAGCACAAGAGATAAATTTTTGAGACAAGAATCAAAGGAGGAGCCAAAGACAGAAAAATCGTCCATGAAAACTTCCAAGAATTTTCCAACCATATCAGAAAATATGGACATCATGCATCTTTGGAACGTGGCTGGAACATTGTATAGCCCAAAAGGCATGCGTCTATAGGCAAAGGTTCCAAAGGGACATGTGATTGTTGTTTTCTATTGATCTTGGGGGGCGATTGCCACTTGGTTATAGCCGAAATAACCGTCAAGAAAACAATAGTAGCTTTGGCCGGCTAGCCTTTCTAGGATTTGATCAATAAATGGGAGTGGAAAATGATCTTTCCTAGTTGACGAATTGAGCTTCCGGTAGTCAATGCACACACGCCAACCAGTGGTGGTTCGTTGTGGCACAAGCTCACCCGCTGAATTTTCAACAATGGTGAGACCGGATTTCTTGGGAACAACTTGCGTGGGGCTTACCCACTTGCTATCAGAGATGGGATAGATGATTCCTGCATCTAGCAATTTTATCACTTCCTTCATTACCACTTCCTTCATGTTAGGATTTAACCGGCGCTAAACCTCTCTAGTAGGCTTTGCATCCTCCTCCATATGAATGCAGTGCATACAAATGGAGGGGTCAATTCCTTTCAAGTCAGCTATTACCCAACCAATAGCTTCTTTGTGCTCTTGTAGCACCACTAAAAGGTTGGTTTCTTGGTCCTTTAGAAGGTCCGATGCAATGATGACCGGGAGAGTTTGATTGGAACCAAGGAATACATACTTGAGATGGGCCGGGAACGGCTTAAGCTCAAGTTGTGGTGGAGATTTCAGAGATGGAACCGGAGGAGTAGTGGAGAGCT